CGCACACACACACACACACACACACACGCACACCACACACACGCGTGTGCACACAAAACACATGGCGGAGAAACTAACGCCCCGAGGGTAGTTTAGGTTCCCGTCTTGAGCATGGATGTATAATAAGAACTGGATACAGCGTCGGAGGTGGGGCCTCGTTCTTCCTATGAGAGTTGCTCATTGGCGCATGAAGTCAAAAGGCCCAACTTTTGAGAGAGCGAACGTCACAGATTACCCGTCATGCCTGGCTGTCAGAGCAGAATAACCCGTTTGTGCGCTCACAGCATGCGTCCCTTAAGCCCCGCCCCCCGAGCACACACTCTCGGCTCACTAGAAAGAATGGAGAGAGAGAATAAATCTAGATTTGGCTTTAGTGCATTTTACAACTTTAAGAACTTAATGATTCTAGGGCTATACATAGTTCATACTGGGTAGTTTATTTAGTTTCAAAAAAATTATCCACCGAGTTACAGATGTCTCTTTCCCAATGTTAGTCAATGGGAAAAAGTATTTCGGGCCGGTCGACGTCACAGACTGATAAGGAAATTGTAGTACCGCGTTTGGACACAACGAATATTTTCCTCAGAGTCCGGCACACTTCCTGGGGGCTTGGTCTTGAGGTGGAAAATGCTGTTGCCAATAGTGCAATAAGAATTTAGCATGTAAGGGCGGTAACACAAGCTATTTGTCTAAACATTTAGCAAAAGTGCTCCACATTCAGACGGAGGAATGCACCGGGTTCGACTGTCTTTCTAGCAGCTCTGTAGCCCCATCCACGAGTAACGTTTCCACGTCAGGTATATATTATGTATGCTAGCAGCAACCACAGAGTTAACTCAATAACACACATGGGTTAATGATTAGAGGTAACTGAGTTTATTATTTTGTTAAAGTTACAGCTATTCTGTTTGCAGTTCTATCATCACATAATTGAATAATTTGTTAAAACATTGTTGTTTCTTATTTTCAGTTTGCTTCAAGCAGTGGCTGCACGAGAAAGATGTGGAGGACCAAGAAATGCTGGCCAGATTGGCAAAGACCGGAAGATACATAACAGAGAAGATAATGGATATTAACAAGAAAAAGAAAAAAAGTTTATAATTTCTTTGTTGCTGTTTACATTTTGAATTATATTGTTATTTTTAAATCAAATGCATCTTTTTTAGATGATATACTTATTATGTAGGTTTTTTTGTAATATTATTGTATTAAGTATAATGTAAATAAAAATACTGTTATGAACACTTACAATGTCTTTTATTTTGATAGTTACCAAAATACATACATGTATATTTAATACTAACATAAGCTGGTGATAGATAAATGCTGGTCTGCTGGTATAGATGAGTAACAAATGCGTCACTTCTGGGCAAAAATAATGTCTCCGCCCACTTTTGGGGAAACAACGCTGTCAGTTGAACGGCGGTCAATACAAATTCTGAAGTTTTTGCCAATCCGATCAGAAATTTAAGAAAACCGGAGATTTTGGATCTTCAAAGAGCCCGATTCCAATGGCCAGGACGGCAAACAATTGCATTAAGCCATTAGAAATCGACGATCGGGCTCGATATATGGTTAAATATAGCAGTAGGCTATCGATTTTCATAGATGAGAGTAACATCTACACTGTAAAAAAAAAACTGTAAAAATCTGGCAGCTGGTGCTTCCAAAAACTTACCGTCAAATTACAGTGAAATACCCTAATTTCAATAATGGGAAAAAACCGTAAATTCACAGTAAATATAATGAATTTCCTTTACAGAGAAACACTGTTATTTTACAGGTATCTTCCCTTGTTTATTACGGACATAATTTAGAGTTAAGCATGTAAAAACTGTTATTTTACAGTTTTATCCTAAATTATTACGGTCAAACACCTTCAATAAAGTGACAGAACTTAAAGTTCAGCAGTGAAACACTGTTATTTTACAGGTGTATCTGCTCTTTTTACAGTCAATAACCTTCAATAAAAGTACAGCACTAAAACTTCTACGGGCAAAAACCCGATCAAATGACTGGGAGCAGCAGGCTGCCAAACAAAACCATAACATTAAAGTAAAAAAACTGAAATAAAGTGCAAAAGCAATTAATATACAGGAATTGTCCTTAAAGATTTTACAGGAAAACACTTTCCTCTCTTTTCAAAATCCATTGTCTTAAAATGTTACATTCAAATACCTTAAATAAGTTCTGATGAGAAAAACTGTTTTTTTACATTTTTTTTTTATTAGATTTGTATGATCACCAACATAAATACAGAACCTAAAGTTCTACAGCTAGAATACTGTTATTTTACAGCTTTTTTCTAACATTTTCCAATCAAACAGGTTCAACAAAATGACATCACAAAATGTTCTGTAGGAAACAATTACTCTGAAAACTTATATATAATATTTTGTAGAATTTAGAACAACTAATGAATACAGCATTTCATATTTAAACATCATACTTATAACAGTAGAAACAAAAAGTAAGTAGAATTTTCTTAAGATTACTTTGAAACATTCTCAACTGAAAATAACAAGATTTACAAAATGGCGACATATGTTCACATTGTCCATTTGAAGGAGCAGTGTGCAGGATTTAGTACGTCTAACATTGGGGATGTAGGTTCCAACCAATGGATTACTTGTTCACTCACCCTCCTATCCAAAGTCTGTAGGAGAATGTATGTTGGCTGCAAAAAACATGAGGCCCAATCATGTTTCCTCTGTCCATTCTGCGCTACTGTAGACGTGGCAGTGCAACCTAGAGGACAAACCGATCAGAATCAGAAACGGGTTTATTGCCAGGTAGGTTCACACGTATGAGGAATTGCACTAGGTGTCGTGGTGCATACATACAAATTTAAAAAAGTACACAGATAGCAAACTATATTAAGAACACTAATAAAAATATAGTAAGATAGAAATAAAATAAAGCAGTAATTTACATCGAAATAGAATGCAATAAATTATAGAATATAAAATATGTGCAGTAAGCAATATTTAAACATTGCATTATTTACCATCCTGTGATCTCCATTATGTAATGCATAGAGTCTGCGTTGTGGCTGAGGTAAAGTGTCAGTGGGGGGGCGGGCCCTGTTGAGGTGGAGAGAGGTTTTGGTCCTGATGGAGAGAGGTTTTGGTCCTGATGGAGAGAGGTGTTGGTCCTGATGGAGAGAGGTTTTGGTCCTGATGGAGAGAGGTTCTGGTCCTGATGGAGAGAGGTGTTGGTCCTGATGGAGAGAGGTTTTGGTCCTGATGGAGAGAGGTTCTGGTCCTGATGGAGAGAGGTTCTGGTCCTGATGGAGAGAGGTGTTGTTCCTGATGGAGAGAGGTTTTGGTCCTGATGGAGAGAGGTTCTGGTCCTGATGGAGAGAGGTTTTGGTCCTGATGGAGAGAGGTTCTGGTCCTGATGGAGAGAGGTGTTGGTCCTGGTGGAGAGAGGTTCTGGTCCTGATGGAGAGAGGTTTTGGTCCTGATGGAGAGAGGTTTTGGTCCTGATGGAGAGAGGTTTTGGTCCTGATGGAGAGAGGTTTTGGTCCTGATGGAGAGAGGTTCTGGTCCTGATGGAGAGAGGTGTTGGTCCTGATGGAGAGAGGTGTTGGTCCTGGTGGAGAGAGGTTCTGGTCCTGATGGAGAGAGGTTCTGGTCCTGATGGAGAGAGGTTTTGTTCCTGATGGAGAGAGGTTTTGGTCCTGATGGAGAGAGGTTTTGGTCCTGATGGAGAGAGGTTTTGTTCCTGATGGAGAGAGGTTTTGGTCCTGATGGAGAGAGGTTTTGGTCCTGATGGAGAGAGGTTTTGGTCCTGATGGAGAGAGGTTTTGGTCCTGATGGAGAGAGGTTCTGGTCCTGATGGAGAGAGGTGTTGGTCCTGGTGGCGAGAGGTTTTGGTCCTGATGGAGAGAGGTTTTGGTCCTGATGGAGAGAGGTTCTGGTCCTGATGGAGAGAGGTTTTGGTCTGATGGAGAGAGGTTTTGGTCCTGATGGAGAGAGGTTCTGGTCCTGATGGAGAGAGGTTTTGGTCCTGATGGAGAGAGGTGTTGGTCCTGGTGGCGAGAGGTTTTGGTCCTGATGGAGAGGTTTTGGTCCTAATGGAGAGAGGTTCTGGTCCTGATGGAGAGAGGTATTGGTCCTGATGGAGAGAGGTATTGGTCCTGATGGAGAAAGGTTCTGGTCCTGATGGAGCGCGGAGGGGAGGGGAGTGAACAGTTTGTGTCCAGGGTGGGAGGGATTACAGCCGATCACCTTCTCTGCAGAGCGGATGACACGCTGCAGCCTGCCCTATCCTTAGCTGTGGCTGCAGCGTACCAGATGGTGATGGGAGTATCCTCGGCTGTGCTTTTTGTGGTGAGGGAGCAGATGTTCTGCTTCCGTTTGAGGGTCCTGGGCGATGATAGTGCCCAGGAAGGGAAAGATTCCACAGCAGTTACTGGGGAGTCACACAGAGTGATGGGGGTGGGGTGGGGGGCCTGCGTTTCTTCCTAAGTCCACACCATCTCCACTAGCCCTTGAGAGCGTTGAGCTCCAGGTGGTTTTCCCCACACCAGGTCACCAGATGGTCCATCTCCCACCTGTAGGCAGACTCGTCCCCACCAGAGATGAGTCCGATGAGGGTGGTGGTCGTCTGGAACTTCAGTAGCTTGACAGACTGGTGACTGGAGGTGCAGCTGTCGGTGTACAGGGAGAAGAGCAGAGGGGAAAGAACGCAGCCTTGAGGGGAACCGATGCTGATGGTCCAGGAGTCAGAGAGGTGTTTCCCCAGCCTCACGTGCTGCTTCCTGTCAGACAGGAAGTCTGTGATCCACCTGCAGGTGGAGACAGGCCACGTGCAGCTGGGAGAGCTTTTCCTGCAGCAGAGCCGGGATGATGGGTGTTGAAGGCGGAGCTGAAGACCACAAACAGGATCCTGGCGTAGGTTCCTGCTGTGTCCAGGTGCTGGAGAGGAAGTGAAGTGATAACTATTAGTAAACCATAATGATGGATGTTATTATCAGCAGCTGCCAATAGATCCCCTACATCTTGTATGATGGACCTTTGAAGCAGGGTACACAAAACACACACACACAAAAAATTGTAAAACAGTTATTGAGAGCATCCCAAGGGCATTGATCCTATGCTAAACCTTCAGTACACCAACTTCTAATACCTTAGAAACGACAACTAGCCGGTGGCACGAATGTAATGCTTCAGCTTCCTACAACTTTAAAGCTGTGTGGACGTGGCTCTATGAAGAAGATCGTTCATATTTTCTCATTATTTCATAAGTTTAGAAGGGGTAACAACAGGTATACCTTTTGTTAATTTTACCTCGAGCCAAACTTGTGCGACTTGTTTCTGAAATCCCTTTCTCTTAAAGTGAATACATAAAATAAAAAACAGTGGAGCTTACCCTAAAACTAACCACTGGATAGGATTAACCCTAACCCATATATATTTTTGTATTATTATTTTTTAAAATATATATATATAGCACCAAATTGCAACTAATTTATATCTACGGTCACTTTTCACATTGAACATGAGCTCTTTTATTAAATAAACTAAACGCTTTCATTTTAAGTTGATTTAGTGTTTTTGACCCTAAGAAACACTGATGCATTAATCAATAACAATAATCCACAGCTCCTCTCTCTGCTCCAGAGGATTTAAAGAATATATTAGGGATCGACCGATATGGCTTTTTCAAGGCCGATACCGATAACAATGATTAGTAATCAAGGAGACCGATAACCGATATTTGGAACCAATTTGCAGTAAAAAAAAAAAATCTTGGTGTCAAAATGTCGAATAACACAAACTCCAACACAACTTATTTGAAATGCATTTAAGCCATAGCCTATATTATGTTTAATTAACTTTTAAACATCTTACAAACTGGTTCCTCTCTGTGCCCTTTTCTTAGTGCAGCCGTCTGCAATGAGTTAGAGAGAGACAAGAAGTGGGGCTGCAGGCTGACATGCTTAACTAACAATAATGCTTAATTTATTATATCTGTCTATCTAGCATACAATCCCAATAAGCTGCTAGCAACTGCAAAACACTAGTGCTAGCTAATGTTTTGCAAACTATTCAAAGTGAGGCTATCACAGTAGACCTAACGTTAGTCTCGTAGCCTCACTTCTAATATTTTGCTAAACATTTGCTAGATACATGTTGGCTAGCTAATGAGCTTCACATATCAACCTGAAAAACTGCAAGGCTCCACTCGCAGCCCCCCCCCCCCCACACCACAGTTACTCCGCTGCGAGACACTGCCACGCACCCCCAACTCTGACTTGACTTCCCGCGTCCCTGTGTAACTGGGAAACTGATAGAATTGGATCATAAGATCGTGGTGTTTTTGCAACTTCAGCATAGGGGATTGGGATGTTTATTGAACTTCGGGTTTAACACATGTATGGCTCTGCCGCTCAGCGCTGCTGCTTGCTTCAGTCTGTGTCCTTTCGCACCTGGCCTGTAATCTGAGAAGGTCCCGCCTCTCTGGCTGGCTCCCGCCCGGAAAATCTTCAGTAATGGCCTATCAGATAGCGCTGTGGGCGGGTCATTGCTCGTGTACAGAGTGGTGACTGCAGCCAGAGAAACGGCCGCATCAGAGCCAAAGTTTTATCGGCAATTTGATAAAAAAAGGCCGATACCGATAATCGGTCAAATGCGGAATATCGGCCCCGATAATCGACCCCTAGAATATATCAGCAGTAAACCTAGGGGAAACACTGACATTCAATATTATGTTAGAGACAAGTTAGTTATTACTCACATATCAAAGTCTTTTCATCTGCAAGATGGACGAATAGCTGGGTGCTGCCTGGAGAGACTGATGAGGAGTCACCGGCTGGCTTCTGCAGCTTTCCACACAAAGCCATCACATGTTCTGTTCCATAGTCTTCACTGTCCACTGGTGCTCTGTCAAAAGAGTGAACATCACAGCTGTCATGGTCATTGTAAATATCTTTGCAATAAATTACCTCCTCAATTAACCTGTTTAGATCAACACCAATTCTAATTTTCATTTTAACTTTCTTACGTTTTTAAATAAAAATCATGTTTGTATCACTACACTTCTAAGGCACAACATGGGTAAAAAATTATCCGTATTATTTCCTATGTTATTCCTAGTGTTTCTTTAAATACATTGTTTCTGATTACCACAAATCATTATTTTAATTCTCCAGTTCTAATTGATTAACTAAAATAGTTTATGCCAAGTGTGATACAAATGCAAAAAAATAAAGATACTTTAATGATAATTTTGTTAAAAATAATAATTTTAGCAGAGATTTGGACCAAGCATGTATGATGTAGTAATACAACAACTATTTTAGTTCACACAGTGTGACATTAGCTAGTCATGTTAGCTTGTAATTAGGGCCGGGACTCGATTAAAAAAATGAATCTAATTAATTAGAGGCTTTGTAATTAATTAATCGAAATTAATCGCATTTTTAATCACATATACATATTTGACCTGAGAACAGTGAGAAGCCTTCCGAGTAAATCGCCAGAACGCCGACACCTCCTCATCTCCACCGCTCCCATGTTTTATTTTGTGTTGCCATAAGTTAGTCTCTCTGCGTTTCTGCGCTGGGCTAATGCTAATAATGCTAATGCGAGGATAATAAAATGGCGGCTTCACAAAACTTTTTGGGAGTTTTACGGGGCGTGGTTTGCAATCCGCCCAGCCAATCAGACATATAGCTCTTTCTCACAAGAGAGCCGTACGAAAGTCCCTGCTCTCTAGCAGCTCTCTGCTCTCTAGCAGGGACTTTCGTGGGGGGTAAAAAGGTTCTCATGAACTAATTTTAGTACCGGCTCTTTTTGGTGTGAACGCCGATAAAAGAGGCTAACGTCCACGCTAGCTTCCACGCTAGCTGCTATATGTTTTGCATTGAGGTGATACTTGAGGCTTGATGTTGCTGCGGTGATATGCGAATTCCTTTTTTGCATAATTTGCACACAACCGTGCTCTTATCGACGCTTCCATCCGTCCGTTTTTAAAACAACATTTCCCACTGTTGTTCACTGTGGTTTGTTGTTGTCTGAAGTCATGAACGTTAGTTGGTGCTCCAGTATAATCGGTACGCCTGAAACTCATCCAGTGAGAAACGTTCCGCGGTGCAAAAATAAGTGCGATTAAAATGCGTTAATTTTTTTAACGCGTTAATTTTGTGTAATTAATTAATCTTAATTAACGCGTTAAAGTCCCGGCCCTACTTGTAATATATAGAGCAGAGCTAACTAGCAAGTTAGCCAAACGTTAGTGGTTAGCAGTTTATGCTATGATAGCTGTTGGCTACTGAACATTAACAAACTGGATTCCGCCGTAAAAAAGATGTGAAACTTTACAATAAGATTGGCGACAACACTGTGACACCCTGCTGCACGTTTATGTGTAATCGTCCCGCGTTGGAGACGAGAGGATGGCGGCAGCACTGCAATAAGCTGTAAGCTAACGTTAGCAGCCACCTTGTTAACCTGTATAGCCCGATTGTCCCGCCGGTGGGACATCTTGCAAGAAACAGCATCTCAGGACTTCTTAAAATGTACTAACAACCTATTAATGATGCTTACCTACTTAACGGGAAGAAACTCAGCTAACTGACGATATTAACCATTTTTTACTAAACGAAACACAAGTCTAACAGCTAACGGGGCTAACGCTACTTTAGCACATAACTGGCAAAAGCGATCTTTTTTACTTCATGCTATCTGCACAAACGTATCATATGAAAGCTGAGATTCCACAGATTCCCTTAAAATATATGTCTCATCACCAGGGTTGGGTTGTAACGGAATACATGTAACGGTGTTACGTAATCAGAATACAAAAAGCAAGTAACTGTATTCAGCTCACGTTACATTTGAAAAACGAGTAATCTGATTACAGTTACTTTCGTAAACCTGAAGTGAATACATTTTGGATTACTTATTGGAATTATTGGTGGAAAGATTTCCTCACATTTAATATTCATTACTAAAGGTACAGCCGAATCATCACAGCCCACAAAACCTATTACCGCCGCAGATGGAACAAAAAAGCGTTTGAAAAAAAATCGCGGGTCCGCTCAGTGAAACAATAACAGCGAAACATGGAGGAACACAAGTCTGCGTTTAAATCGCGTGTGAGTAGTTAAAACACATCAGCCTGCGGGTCCGCTCTTTCTTTAGCCTTACTAATGATTATTTCTGAAGGTAACACGGTGAAGGCGGTGCGTGAAAGGCACAGCGTGCTCGTCTTCTCAGAGGCTGAGTTAACCCTCCCGCTGCCTCCTGGTGCTGCAGAGATTTCATGAAGTGAAGGAGGTGTTCCTTCTATAAAACAGCTGCGGGCAGCAGATACTGTGAGTGTCACGGACATGAATTCATAGATCAAGGCAGACTGGTGCACACACTCTCCTGTTTTGCCGATCCGGTGCTTAAACAAATATAGCTCTACACCCCTGGCCGTAATGTCCTTAAAATGAAGTCCGAGTTTGACATTTTAATTCATGTCCTGCCAACACTGGCAGGACAGAAGGCGACACGCTCGTTCTAAGCCGTGTCCCTCACTCCTCACATCCCAAGCTGCATCCCCAAAAAGTTAATTATGTTGTTACATCGTTTCAGATGTTATGTTTCAGTTGTGCTCTTGATAAGCCATTAAAACAGTAAAAACACATTCCTTTTGCTTTTTGTGTCTCCTGTTCACCAAAACATACCCATCTGTGATGGAAAAAGAAAGTAATCCAAAAGTAATCTGATTAGGTTACTTTTTTAAGACACGTAACTGTAACTGTATTCGGATTACTTTCAGAGCCATGTAATCAGTAACTGATTACATTTACAAAGTAACCCTCCCAACCCTGCTCATCACTCAAAACTTACTGAACTAGAAGAAGAAACGTAACCTTAAATACACAATTAAACATTCACAAACTAAGGATTATCTAAATACATGTTTAACTCCATTACAGTTGCAGGACTCACCAGATCTCAAGTCTTCTGTTCTCTGTGGACGTCCCGATGCTCATATTTAACGTGTAGATGTAAAACTATCCCGATATTAGTCCATAAACTCGTGAGCAGACATACAGACAGCTCTGTAGCTCCGCAGGAGAGCCGCTCAAACTGACGTGGAAGTTTCAAATTGGATTGAAAGGCGCTGACAGGACGTTTATATCAACCAATCAGGAGTGTTGTGGACTCATTCCAATCCTGCTTGTCTTGTCTGCCGTTGTATGGCTGGATTCCATTTTAAGCGCCGTAGCTTTTTACATACATTTTACGTTTTTTTTATTTGACACTTTTTTTTTACAGTTAACTATTTTAGTATACTATGAAAACTACTTTATTTACACAAAACCATTTTGGGGTATTTCTGCAATATATTACATTTTTTGTGAAGATGTATACATTTATTTAACATTTTAGAGATGTTTTATAATAAGATTTCTTTTTATTCTACAACAGTACAGAATACAGTTATTTTAATTTTTTTTACATTTTGTTACATTAAATGTAAGGTTTTACTGCAAAAAAAAAAAAAGTTGCCTTCATTTTACATGCAGTAAAATTATGTGTATTTTATGTGTTTTTACATAGAATTCAATGTAATTTAACATTCAAGACAATTAAACAATGGAATTATCCTGTAAAAAAACGATAATTTCTCATCAAGGCAAGGCAAGGCAAGGCAAGGCAAGTTTATTTATATAGCACTTTTCAACACAAGGCAATTCAAAGTGCTTTACAAAAAATGAAAGAGATTAGGAAAATGGCATTTAAAATCAGTCATTAAAAAGAAAAGCTAATAAAATAAACATTAAAAGAAAAAAAGTACATGGATAAAAGTTACAGTGCAGTCTAAGATATGAATAGTTCAATTAAAAGCAGCGACAAAAAGAAAAGTCTTCTTGCTGGATTTAAAAGTAGTCAGAGTTGCAGCGGACCTGCAGGTTTCTGGGAGTTTGTTCCAGATATTTGGAGCATAATAACTGAACGCTGCTTTACCATGTTTAGTTCTGACTCTGGGGACAGGAAGCTGACCAGTCCCTGAAGACCTGAGAGATCTGGATGGTTCATCATTTAGCAGGAGGTCAGAAATGTATTTTGGGCCTAAACCATTCAGTGCTTTATAAACCAGCAGCAGTATTTTGAAATCTATTCTTTGACACACAGGAAGCCAGTGTAAAGACTTCAGAACAGGAGTGATCCACTTTCTTAGTGTTAGTGAGGACTCGAGCAGCGGCGTTCTGAATTAGCTGCAGCTTTCTAATATATTTTTTAGTGAGACCTGTGAAGACACCATTGCAGTAGTCGAGTCTACTGAAGATAAAAGCATGGACAAGTTTTTCCAAATCCTGCTGTGACATTAGTCTTTTAATCCTAGATATATTCTTTAGGTGATAGTAGGCTTTACAAAACCAATTTACAGAATAAAACCTTTATTTATTTTAAATAAAAGTAATTTACTGTATTTGTATGGTATTTACACGTAATATAGAAAAACAAGAAAGGTCTGTAAAATAATACAGTACATTTCTGTGAAAAAACATTTTTTTTTACAGTGTACGTCACTTTACGGCCCCGCCCACTTTTGGGGGAAACAACGCTGTCATTTGAATGGCGATCGAGCCTGAAGCCACAGAGCTCTTCCTTTACTGTCCTTTCTTCTTAGAGGAAGTACAGAAACACTGAACTCTTGATTATTTTTAATGTTTGAGGTGCAATAAACGACACAGCAGCTTTTTGGCATGTTAAAACTATTATGTTCCGCCTCGCTCATGAGAGTAACAGCTGGAGAAATTACATCCTCGCCTACTGATTTTAATTTAACCATATATCAAGACCGATTGTCGAATACCAATGATCGAATGTAATTGTTTGCCTGACTGGCCATCGTAATCGGGCTCTTTGAAGATCCAAAAATCCACGGTTTTCCAAAAAATTTGATCGGATTGGCAAAAACTTCAGAATTTGTATCGACCGCCATTCAAATGACAGCGTTGTTTTCCCCCAAAAGTGGGCGGGGCCGTAATTTTTGCCCGGAAGTGACGTAGGTGTTACTCTCATCTATGCCAGCAGACACATATTTATAAAGACAGGGTATGGCTGGGGTAGGCTACACCCATACCAAGAAATGGCTTAGCCCCACCATGAAAAATGATGTTAAAGTAAGCAAAATAAAGTCCGCCAACTCGCGCAGAGTAAATTGCACAGACAGCAGTTAGTAAGATTGATTTCAGCCACTTGTCTGGAAATACGGAAGACCAGAAACGGTTTAAAAAACTTTTGTCACGTAGTGATCGTCTTCCCAATAGAACATCTTTGATAATGTCTTCTGGCCAATCAGAATCAAGATAACGGCGTGGTGTTGTTGCAGGAAGTCCCGACGGAGAATACTTTAGCTGTAGTACAGGTAACACATAACTGGTACGCAGGTTATGTGCGTAATCTGAAATGCGTACCGTCACTTGTGTCACAAACAGTGGCGGCGGGTCATTAGGGGCAGGTGGGGCACAGCCCCACCTAGTGTCAGAAGAAAGTATTACAAATAATGATTACAAAAAAATACTAAAAAATAAATAAAAAAACATATAAAATATATTTTAAGGTCATGTTTAATAATCTGATTCGTCTGTACATTTCTGTTTTAGTCTGTGTTCTTCTAATTAGTGTCTAGAGTGCCGTTTTGAGCTGTTTAGAGCCATGTGGGACAAAACCCGATCCTGCCCCTCCCTCTCCCTGTCTAAGTGAACGGTGATTGTAAAAACTACACTGCGCATGCTCAGAGTATTTTTCTATTGAATGTGTGTGGCAAAAAAATAATGACCGTAGGGGCAGAGTGCTCCCATCCCCACCATACGTCATCTCACATAATTCAGAATTGATTGGCTGTAAGTACTCACGTGTGCAGTGCTGCGAAACGTCACGTGTAGTTTGAAGAGGAGACGAGAGAGCAGCATATAGCTAACATCACCAGCGATTAAAAGAAGTAAAAAACTGAAAGAAAATGAATGAAGTTGACCATTTACTGGAGCACACATTTGAGACACTTAGCCCACCATCCACCGGATTTCCAAATGGTCCAGACTGCGGGCAAAGTTAAACGTGGGTTTAACGCTGAGTGGTTTGCTAAAAAGAAATGGCTAACGGCGAGCATCCAGAAGAATTCCCTCTTTTGCTTTCCTTGCCTGCTTTTTGGTGAAGATCAAGGTACTTGGTCGAGGACAGGTTACAAGGACTTAAAGCATCTTTCGGAGAGGACAATGAAGCATGAGAGCAGCAACAGTCATTTGGAAAATGCCGTAAAATTGGGATTACTTGGAAGGGTGAATGTTGCAGCTCAGATTGACAGCGCCTACAGACGTGGCATTGATTCTCATAATAGGAAGGTGGAAGAAAACAGGTACGTGCTTGGTCGGATCATCACCTGTATTAAACTGTGTGGGAAATGTGAGACAGCACTGCGGGGCCACAACGAGTCGGCGGACTCTCTGAATCCAGGGATATTCAGGTCAATTTTCGAGACAATGTGTGAGGCTTCAACGGCACTACGAAGCTCAGCTTGTTTTCAAAGGGACATCAAGCACCATACAGAATGAACTCTTGGACTGCATGTATGATGTGTACAGGGAGGAAATAGCCAAGCAAGTGGACAACACATCATTTGTTGCCGTTCAGGCCGACGAGACAACCGATGTCTCCTGTAAATTGCAAATGGTGATTGTGCTGCGATACATTATGCCTGACCTCACAGTTACAGAGCGTTTTTTGGAGTTTGTGGAAGTAAAGGACAAAACTGGTGTAGGTCTCTCTAACAGCATCAAGGCTGTTCTGGAACCCCTGAAACTGAAAGAAAAGCTAATCGCTCAGACCTATGACGGGGCGGCCGTCATGAGCGGTAACGTGCGCGGGGTACAGACGGTGATGAAGGAGACGTACCCAAACGCTCAGTTTGTTCACTGCTACGCCCACCAACTGAACCTGACCCTGCAGCAACTGTGTTCAGCAAGGATGAGCATCCTGAAGGGGTTTTTTGCAGATCTAACTGCTTTTTCCACTTTTTTCTCCGGTGCTCCAAAACGTGTTGCAGCTCTTGCAGAGGCAACACAGAGACGCATCCCACGGCCACCGGCTGTGAGATGGAACTTTAAAAGCAGAACTGTGAACGCGGTTTGGGAGACCCGAGATGCACTACTTCAGTGTATTGAGCATATACGCGCACAACCAGGATGGGATGCGGTCACCATAAGTGAGGCATACGGCCTGTCAAAGAAACTGCGGGACCGAACATTTATGCAGCTCCTGGAGTTTTTTTCGTTGCTTATGCCAGAAGTGGATGTTCTATACACAGTGGCGGCGGGTCATTAGGGGCAGGTGGGGCACAGCCCCACCTAGTGTCAGAAGAAAGTATTACAAATAATGATTACAAAAAAATACAAAAAAATAAATAAAAAAACATATAAAATATATTTTAAGGTCATGTTTAATAATCTGATTCGTCTGTACATTTCTGTTTTAGTCTGTGTTCTTCTAATTAGTGTCTAGAGTGCCGTTTTGAGCTGTTTAGAGCCATGTGGGACAAAACCCGATCCTGCCCTTCCCTCTCACAGTCTAAGTGAACGGTGATTGTAAAAACTACACTGCGCATGCTCAGAGTATTTTTCTATTGAATGTGTGTGGCAAAAAAATAATGACCGTAGGGGCAGAGTGCTCCCATCCCCACCATACGTCATCTCACATAATTCAGAATTGATTGGCTGTAAGTACTCACGTGTGCAGTGCTGCGAAACGTCACGTGTAGTTTGAAGAGGAGACGAGAGAGCAGCATATAGCTAACATCACCAGCGATTAAAAGAAGTAAAAAACTGAAAGAAAATGAATGAAGTTGACCATTTACTGGAGCACACATTTGAGACACTTAGCCCACCATCCACCGGATTTCCAAATGGTCCAGACTGCGGGCAAAGTTAAACGTGGGTTTAACGCTGAGTGGTTTGCTAAAAAGAAATGGCTAACGGCGAGCATCCAGAAGAATTCCCTCTTTTGCTTTCCTTGCCTGCTTTTTGGTGAAGATCAAGGTACTTGGTCGAGGACAGGTTACAAGGACTTAAAGCATCTTTCGG